TCAGAATTAAAATGGCAGTTTAATGGTAGGAGTTATGGTTGCATTAAGGGGCAAATGCTTCTCCTTGCCTATATATACTGAACAATCTCTTCAGTTCAGGCACACCACAACAACTGCACGAAATCTCTCTGCTTCATGTTCGAATTCCTGTCTTCTTCCAGTCAATTGGTGATTCCGTTCCGACACTCTCTTTCAGTTCGACTGCTCTGCTGAAAATTTTAACTGGTCTTTTGTGTTGTTTGTGATGAAAATATTGCCAAATGATGGTCTTTATAGAGATTTCCGAAGTATAACTTCAAGTCTTTTAAAATATTATTGTACAAAGAGAGAGTGAACTTTTTTTAGGGGCATAGTCATAGTTTCACTCTCGAGGGAATGGATCCAAGTTTTTGGCATAAGTAATTATTCTGCTTTAGCCATTTAAGTTTTATAAGTTAGGTTCAAGAACCATGAAAAAAGCTTTAATAGCTATTGTCTAAGCACTTAATTTTTTTATTTTTTTTTTGTTGGGAAATAATTAGTAAACACATCTGCTAAAATAACCAATAAAAAGTTTTTTTGAGAGTACGTTTGGCTAAGTACTTATATTGAAATAACTTTTTATTCCAAAATATATTTGAAAAGTTAATTTTTTTTCTTAATTATAAGTAAAAAAGTTTACATACTTTTGGAAATATATATTTTTAAGCAATTCATTCAGAAATAATTAATTCTTTCCTTTGCTCTTAGAATAATAAAAATCTTGCTTATTTACTCGTTAAGTAAATGCTTTAATTACGATAACTACATGGTAAACACACAATAAAATATATGGAACATCAACTCCTAATCACTACGGAATCTAGGCTATAAATTAATGCTATGAAAGTTCTAAAATCGAACTTAGGAATTAATTAAGCTGATCATAATCATAACTTTAGTAATTATATCAAATGATTCAGATTCCAAAATCGACTGCCGGTGAAAACATATCTGCATAAAATAAAAAAAGTAGAAATTGAAAGAAATCTTATGTTGACTTGATTCCCTGGAGTGCAGAAGATGCAATGAACTTACC